GAACTAGCTCTGTAGACCATGCTGGCCTCAAACTCACAGAGATCCGCCTATCTCTGCCTCCCAAGTGCTGGGATTAAAGGTGTGTGCCACCACCACCCATCTAGGTACCATTTCTTAAGAACATCAAATGAGAAAAACATTGTGCTAAGTGACAAACATATGTAAGCTAATGTTTAGTTCTTACAGATATAGTAATAGTACTGCTATTCTGTTTTTCCAGACGAAATCCTGAGGTGTAAGTGTAGCCTCTATTAAGCTCAAGTTCAAGTATAGCCAAGCTCGGACACCAACACAAGCAACCTGACTTTGAAACTAATGTGCTTTAATAACTTTATCAACAAAGCTATAGAAATTGACAAAGAGAGCCTTCCCTAGATGATTACTCTAATTCTCATAATAGGAATATACTTTCTTATTTTTATCCATTAGTTACATGGTCTCTAATCACAGTTAGCTTGATGCTAAAAACCATTCTGTGAAGCTCCCCAAAGTAGAATATTTATACTTTTTTCAAAAAGTCCAAAAAGAATAATAATTCCTGTGAGCATAGTATATATCTCACATTTCTCCTTCATTAAATTCTATGATTACTCCTTTGGGAATAGTATTTCTTACTAGAATATATAGATAGATCTTCTGTGGACAGTACAACTTTTTTTCCTCTCTAGAATAGCTAATGAAATAAACCAAATTTTTACTTTCAAAGGAAGTTATTTATAATGGAAAGTGACAAGAAAGAGAGAAGCCAGCTATTCAGAAATGAAAGAAATATAAATGAATTCTGTGTATTTAAATCTTTAAGAATTTAGAAAAAAATGCTTAAGTTATAATTTGGTGTCTTCAAAGAGAATAATTTTTAATAAAAAAAGTAAGGCAATGGAGCCGGGCGGTGGTAGTGTACACCTTTAATCCTACCACTTGAGAGGCAGAGGCAGGCGGATCTCTGTGAGTTCAAGGCCAGCCTGGTTTTTTTAAAAAAAAGAAAGGCATTGGAGTAAGTATGACAACAAACTTTGAAATGTACAGATATCATTCTTATTTCCCAAGTAGTAGAACTTGCCCCTTCACCATATGACAATAGATCATTAAAGCCATTTACTATTTAGGTGACTAAAAGAGAGGAAATATTTGATTTTCTTTTATCAGTGAAGTTGAAAATGTCAAGGTATAATATTCTAGACACTAAGTTTACTCAATGCACAAACATTTATGAGAATAATGTCCAAAATACTATACACATTCATTTATATGCTTTTGATGAGGAGTTAGATTTTCAACCAATGAGAAAAGGTCTGGGTTTCCATTTCCCAGCTCACATGGTTCTTGAGATATTTTAAATTATTTCCCTTCTGTTCCTACGAAATTTGACTTCCTGTGGCCACAAAGGGGTTCAGCCAATTGTGCCTACTCTTTAACTGAATTTGTTACGTAGAAATGTAACTGTAACGGTGTTCTTTCATGAAACAGAAGGGGCATGGAATCCACTAGCAGAGGAAGCTGGTGGAAAATAGTTCTGCTCTGAAAAGTTGCCAAGCAACTGATTTTTATTAAACTGAACCTTTCCATTTGAAGCCTGGGAAGATGAAACCAATTGTTAATGTGATTTAATTCTATTTTCCTTTAATTTTGTAATGACAATAATGAAAATTAATATCTAATATACTGGGTACTGAGGCAATTTACAGTGCATTGTCATTAAACTCTCACAAAAACTCTATGAGGCAGAAATCATCTTCATTAAATAAATGAGAAAAGTGAAGCATAAAGTTGTATGCCTTCAGGGTCATTCTGGAGTAGTCAGGTGATAGATAGGATCTGGGGACACAGTTGGTACTACAGAGAATAATAGTAAATCCCAATTGACATTGGTTTTATAAATAGATCTACTTTTGCATATAATCTGAAATTATTTTGGTTTTTATTGTTAGTAAAATGAAACCTTTTACCCCGGTTTAAAAGGATAAGCCACACCATTGTTCCTTACCCACAATATAGGAAGCTTTTTAAAAAGCTGTCAGGGCCATGTTTATATAAATACATGTTTATTGTTGGTGAGTAGATACAAAATAACATATAAGCTAAGACATAAAATTAGGACTACTTCTGCTTGCTTGAAATAAAATTCGAGTTTGGAAAGACTAATGAAATGTTTTAAAATGATTTTTTCTAGAGTTTTTGAGAATTCCTTTTTAATCATATATGGCAAGCTCTCATCACTGATAGGGTCAACAAATATCCATAGGTAGTTCATCTCAGCTCATTACTTAGTAGCTGTGCGAACTATTTAATTTCTTTGCAGTTTAGATTTTTTTCATGTACAGATATACTATTGTTGGGAGGCTTAAGTGGACTAAGCCCTTTTCAGTACAGAATGGGATGGCCAAGATGAGGTAAGGAGAGCGAGGCAGACCAAGGAAAAGGATATCTTTTTAATTTTTTTCCACTTTTGTACATTACTGATTTTTGTTGAGCTCTACATTTTTCTCTGCTCCCCTCCCATCCTCTTCCCTCGCCTTCAACCCTCTCCCAGGGTCCCCGTGCTTCGAATTTACTCAGGAGATCTTGTCTTTTTCTACTTCCCATGTAGATTAGATCTGTGTATGTCTCTATTAGGGTCCCCATTGTTGTCTAGGTTCTCTGGGATTGTGATTTGTGGGTGGTTTCCTTTGCTTTATCTTTAAAAACCACTTATTTTGAAAGAGGGAGCCATTATGGGGCTAGCAAGAAATCTAGCACTTGGGAAATTCAAAGGAATCCACAAGGTTGACCCCAGCTAAGAATCTAAGCAATAGTGGAGAGGGTGCCTGAACTGCCCTTGCCCTGTAATCAGATTGATGATTACCTTAATTGTCATCATAGAACCTTCATCCAGTAACTGATGGAAGCAGATGCAGAGATTCAGAGCAAAACACTGGGCCCAGTTCCCAAAGACCAGTAGAAGAGAAGAAGGAGCAATAATATGAGCAAAGGGGTCAAGACCATGATGGGGATACCCACAGAAACAGCTGACCTGAGCTAGTGGGAGCTCACTAATTAGACTGACAGTCGAGAACCTGTATAGGCCTAAAGTAGGCCCTCTGAAGGTGAGTGACAGTTGTGTGGCTGGGGCAGTCTGTAGGATCATTGGCAAAGGGACCAAGATTTATCCCTAGTGCATAAACTGGATTTTTGTAGCCTATTCTTCTTGGAGGGATACCTTGCTCAGCCTAAATACAGTGGGGAGAGCCTTGGTCCTGTCTCAAGTGATGTGACAGACTTTGTTGACTCCCCACGGGAGGCCTCACCCTCTCCAGAAAATAGGGATGAAGTGGCGGAATGTGGGGGAGCTAGAGGAGGGGAAGAAGAGGGAACTGGAATTGGTATGTAAAATAAAAAAATGTTGTTTTAAAAATAATTTTAAAAGTTATGTTAAAAATATAAATGCTTATTCTTATGACAAAGAAGCACATGCACAGACAAACACAAATGATTGTAAGCGCTCATGTTCTTTTCATTTCTTTATTCTTATCACTATTTGTGTGTGTGTGTGTGTAGGGGTTTGTGTATGTGTCGTGGTACATGTGTGGATGTACCATGAGGTCCCATGTAGAGCTTCTGGGAGTTGTATTCTAGCTTTTCAGTGGGTTGCAGGGCCAAACTCCAATTGTCAGGCTTGCACAGCAAGCACTTTTTACCCATGGAGACACTTTGCCGACCTTGGTTTCTATTCTTTTTTTTTAAATGTTATGATTATTTTATTAACGGTCTTAAATAAATCATTTTTATATGGTGACTACAAGGAACTAGTTATAAATTTATTGTCCTTTACTATAAAGTTTTCTTCCAAAATATAAGTAATGTAGACACAGGAGTTTAAAAGATGTAAAAAGTTGGTACTGTTTGCCAGGAACTTTTCGAATAACTTTATTTATATCATTTTATTTACTCCTTGTAATTAAAAGAGGAGTAACTATTATTTCTTTTTTTTATTCTTAAGGCAACTGTTTGGCAAAACTTTACATATATAACTTTACCAAATAGCTGTAAGAAAATTAAGCATGTATAAGAAGATATAAGCTGTCTTTTGGGAACAGAGGATGGAGCAGGTTGTACTAATTAGGAAGGATCTTGCCTTTTCCCAAAGTGTATGTTCCTCACTTTTAAGGATTAATTTGACACTGGACAGGGAAAAAGCATAGACTTCCAATTAAATCCATTCATTTTACATTTCAGGCATCTTCACAGGCAAATATTGGAGATACACTGTATCAATTTCAACTGTGACTGTGTTATCTTCTTGATCATACAAAGAAAATGAAGAGTCAACAATAAAAATCCTAACAGTAATTCTATGCCCTAAATAAGGTTTGTCCTTTCTAGTTAACAGTTTCTTCTACTCAAAGACAAGATCAATCACTTAAACTTCTTAGAAGAATATAAAATCTGACACTATTTTCCTCAGAAAAGCCTATCTAAATGCTTCTTTAAAAATCCTCAAGGATTGCTGGGCGGTGGTGGTACACACCTTAAGTTCCAGCACTTGGGAGGCTGAGGTAAGGAGGATCTCTGAGTTCAAGGACAGCCAGGGCTACAAGAGCTAGTTCCAGGACAGGCTACAAAGCAGCACAGAGAAACCCTGTCTTGAAAACAACAACAAAAAAATCCTCGAGGATTAAATCAATGATTTTATTTCAAAGAAATCATGTTAGTTATAAGCATTTATACTTATAAAACTCTTGACTTAATTTATCACCTATCAGAGAAGAAATACATGTGATTCTACAATTTTCATATGCCATTCTGAGTTAAAATCTTTACTAGTCATTAGAAAATATAGAAAACTTTCTAATATTATGCCTGAAATTGTTAGTAGTCTACTCAGAAGTACATGATGACACTGATGGATTTTAACAATTGGAGAGGGATCCAGTAATCTCACCACTCCAAATCTCTTAAAGGGAATCAAAAAACTCCGGGAAGATGTGTATCCTTATATAAACCAGAGAAGAAGAAACTCTTACCATAGGTCGGTGTGCTTTCTCGTCTTCCTTGACTACTTGATCGTCCTTTTTCATATTCATAGCAATACAAGACGGTATCTTCTTCCACGATGTTAAACCTCTTTCGATATTCCTGATCCAGAAATGAGTTTGGGGATTCAGATCCCTTATGAACTGGCTTGCCCACCATATGTCCTCTGAGGTCTTCACAAGGAAGGTTTCCCTTTTCGTCCCTAAAGCAATGTGAAGGTAGAGGAGATGGGTGTAGCATTAGGGCCATACAAAATTAGAGGGACCTTAAAATACAAATAATACCATTCCTTTACAATGTATTTTCAGATTTTTATAAGATTTCTTTGAGAATTATAGGGTTAGTTAAAATTATTCCTATTTTGTCTCAAATAAGAATGAGGCCCAATGGTTAAATAAATTGCCTCAATGTCATACAGATAATAAATGCCAGTTAGAAATACAAACTTCTGCTCTAGTTCATTTTCACTGTGTCATGTCATAGGAAGAAAAATAATTTAACCACATAAATTGATTTTAGTTGAAGGAAAGATACTAGGTATAATGCTAACAATTTAATCATAGATTTTTTCTTCTGTTTATCTTATTGGTTTTGACAGGATTTGTGTTGCTGAAAACAAAGTTCTTTCTGATTCTGTCACCAAAATAAAGGGAAACTATGGTCTTATGAATGACATTAGTACCTATAAATCAGTATTATAAGAAGTTCAAACAGCAGATTATTAATGTAAATGAATTTTAATGTTATTATAAATGGTTACTATAAATATTCAAACTCTATGTATTTCCTGAGAGTTGAAAAGGTGTTTATGGGGCTGGAGAGATGGCTCAGTGGTTAAGAGCATTGCCTGCTCTTCCAAAGGTCCTGAGTTCAATTCCCAGCAACCACATGGTGGCTCACAACCATCTGTAAAGAAGTCTGGCGCCCTCTTCTGGCCTTCAGGCATACAGACAGAATATTGTATACATAATAAATAAATTTAACAAAAAAGAAAAGGTGTTTATGTGGAGCTCATTCAGAAAGGCTATATAAAAATTATTACACATTAGCAATGTTTCTTATGGAGATAGGAGAAAATATGGTAAAATATGGAATTTACAAATGGGATTTGGGGAACAGCAATTCCACTTTTCATCTGTAATAATTTAAGCAGACATTTTCTTGACATTTTATGGGATTCCTAAATCTCATTGCTGTTATTTAAAAATATTTCCTTTAAAATATTTTTGTTACAATAATTTCATTTTTTATTTTTATTGAAAATTTCACGTGTTCAATGCATTTGAATCATATTCATTCCTCACTCTGCAGCTCTACCTTCTCTTGGGTGACCTCATATTGCCCCCAAATCATATATTTTTTACTTAATCCCCCCTTTTACATTGTGAAACTTTAATGAGCACTGCTCACTTTGTGAGAATGTCTAGTTTGCGATTTTCCCTCATGAGTGGTCCGAGGTGCAAGGCCATGGTTTTTAGAAAGTAATGGATGACTGAACTCCTAATGAAAGATCCCCTCTAGGACTAATTAAAACAACACCTTATTTATCTTAGGAAATGTTTCCCTAGGTATCTGATATTTTTCTTGTCTTCTAGAACATGACTATGAATGTAAAAGCTATGCTTTTCCTTCCATGCATCGTTGTGCTTCATTGATTCTAGGTGTTCCCAGTTACCCAAAAGTGTCCCATAAATCAATGTTATCAAATAAGAAAACATTAATTCAACATCAAAACAAGACCAAAATTTTAAACTTGCAAAAGAAACTCGAATCATTTTTAATTAGCTTTCATTATACCATATAAAACAGTGATGCATTTATTAAAATATGCCAATTTAAGAATTATGAGTCTTGGCCTACCAAAAGTCTGTATTTCTGTATCTTCATGAAAATGTTTAGATGTCCCAATTCAAAGAACTATAATCCAAATATTTTAAATATGTAGACAGCAATAAATAATATTCTCAAAGATGACTAAATCAGAAAGTTGTCTTATTAATTTACTTCTTTCCTAGGTAAAGTTATCATTATTATAATCATTTACTTTTTTACTTCCTAAAACCAATACATTTCTTATTATTGAATTATAAATATATAACCAGCTCTTAGGAAATATAAAGAACATAAATATAAATATCAGTGCAAATTTCATTTTTAGTTAACTGAAAGCTTTTCTTGAACTAATTGCCTGGTATTTTTCTGTTATTGCTAATTCTCCATTGGAAAAAAATTGATATTGCAATTAGCTTGGAAACAGTTGTTGTGAATTCATAATACTGGAGAAAGGTTATGTTTATCTGTAAATTTGCAGGTTTCTCTACGGGGCCCATGACATGAATACTAATGCAGTTGTACCATAAGGTAATTCAGAACTATTGAATTTCCATGTTATATTTATATAGACATTCCCTGCAGAAGAAAATTGCAAGAGCTGGCATTTTCTATAATATAACATTATAGAGAAGCAGCCTTTCTCAACATGTCAAGTTTATTAAACATGTCTATATGGAATCTACTCAATAATGTTAAATTTGGAAATGTACCATGCATGCAAAAAAAATTTTAATGGAATGAAGTAATAATATATAAGTATGTATGTACAATTAAATATATAAATGTGTGTGCGTATGTATATATTCATAGTATGAGTTTCTGAAGAACTTAAAGTAATCACTGTAATAGAAACAATTTCACTTTTCTTAAATTTATATGTACATGTACAAAAATAATAAATGCATGGTTATGCTCTAGATTTAAGTATTTAGGTTAAAAGATCATTGCCCCAGTAGATAGTCTTTGCACTTAATTAGACATAGTAGAGTTAATAAGGCAAATTAGTTATTATAGCAAATAATTATTTAAGGACCTTTAAAATAATTATTTACAACACAAAGAAAGAAATTTTGTTAAGTACAAAATATAACCAGTATTATGTTTTTATATTATCAAAATTCTTACCCTATAAAAGATGCCATTACAATATTCTTTTAATGATCACCTAAAATTTGAGATAGTAAATACAACTTCTTTTACTTAAGAATGTGTAGAACTCATCTATAAACTCTATCCATTTAAAAACATATGAAATGTTTTACATTAAACTGACATTTCTTAAAGCTTCACAAGCAAAAATCCTCCCTTAGTATTTACCTTGTAAAATAACCAAAAAAAATTTTTGGTTATTTAATACTACTTTCCTATTATGCAAGGTTATGAGTGTAAGATACTCATGGTCCAATTTATGCTTATTAAAATTTAGTTGTTGTCATTATTAACAAAAGAGCATTTGGTATAATGAGAATTGCCTTCTAGAATATGTTTAGAATTCCAGAAAAAACTATTCACAGTGCTCTTGAAAAACTAGCTTTCCAGTTTAGGAGCTATTATATTAGCCTTTCTCTAGAAGCTGTCCAGAATAATGCCATGGGTAGCTTATACCTGGGAATATAGGGCTCTGCAGGAGGAGGGGGAATGTAGAGATCCTGGAGGGCAGAGCTGTCTCTCTTGGTGGGTGTACTGATGGTGCTGGAGGGCGTGGCAACGCTGCTTGTGGGACTTCTAGGTATAAGAGGCTGGTTAAAATGAAAAAGAAAATACATACGCACACAAACAACACAAAACAACAACAATGACACATAGTAATCATTTAAAAATGATCTGTTTGTGCAAAGTTTTGAACTTGGCTGAAATAAAGAAAAATGTTATTTTACATGGGTATTTCTTTGATCCCTCCCCAAACAAATAACAAATAATAGAGTTTTCAATGCAGTTCCCAACTCACCTTTTCAATGGCTTAACCATCCAAAAGCTACTTATAAAGTAAAAATACCATTCAATGATTCATAATGAGAAGACATGTCACTCACAAAAAGAAATGTATTTTAATTAACTTTGCCAGAATTGTACTTTTGAAAGCTAATAAAAATAATTCATAAAAGAATTAGCTTCCTCACATCCTGACTGACATTTGAAAAACTATAGTGTTATATTAGTAAGAAATGTCACAGATGCTCAAAGAAGGCAAAAATGGCTATCAACACAGGAGAGAATTTTCTAGAAAACTGTACTTTCTCCCAACATAAACACTGGTAGCTGTCTCATCCCCAGCCCTCAGAGCCATTTTATATCACATCTTCAAAAGCATAGTGAATAAGGAGACACAAACATTTCATCTTTCACAGACACATATTTTCATCTAGTATTTAAAACTCATCTTTGGTTGCATGCCTATAGATACCTTGGATTTAAGTATTAAATAGGAAGTTGCCTTCTAAACATACTGTATAAACCGACTTAATCACATTAGTCTTAAGAGCAGTCCCAATTCCAAGATTCACAGTATTTGAGAATAATCTTGTGGATTGAAAAACATTATCCTAAATTGAAACTTAAATTCACAAATTTTTATATTTATCTTACAGATCTTACTGATTAAGTATACATACAATTAACATTAAAATAAGTATCTCAATGCAGTCTCAAACACGATGATAATGACCACAAAATGAATTGCATCTTCGTATGACAAAATGGTGCTATTTTAGCCTGTATGAAACACATTTGGCATATCTAGGTGATAGACTCACAATTCTACTACTTCAACATGCATTGCTGGAAACTCAAGTAAATGCATCTTACAACTATTTTGCACTGTAGCGTTACTTTCATACAGATAACCAAAAATTGTTTGAAAGTCAGGCGTGAATACAATGGAGATTACAATGTAGGTTACTGGGATACGCTACATAATTTGGGAATCAGTTAATGATTTTGACCTTCCTCATTACACAGCTCCCCTTAATAGCTTGAAATCACACTTTCTGCCAAAATGGTGGTTAAGTTTAAATGTATATAAAATCAAACTTAAAGAAAGAGAGACAGGAAAAAGGAATAATCATGTATAAAATTTAATTTTCTATCATATGATGACTTACAATGGTAAGAAACTTTATACATTAATTAATTAATACATTATGATAGTATGCAATAAAAACTTCTCTGTCTGACAATATAATTTTTTTTTTGGAATAGAATCCAGTTAATCTATTCCTGTCCTATAGAAAAAAAAATTCTTGGCAATGAGAAACTCTTGAGATGTAGATGACTGGAAGAGTCATTTGTACTGATGAATGCCATGAAGCCCAATGATATTAAATGAAAATTCTAAGACTGTTTCATGCCTCTATAATATTTGAATGAAAGGTTCAGTGATACATACACATGCACACACACATACTCATATTTACTGCAATATGACTGATTATAGTTTTTTATTTTGTTGTTATCTTTTAGCTCTAAATACAGATAATGATAATAAACATGAAGTAAAAGAAAACCTTATTACACATTATATTAATTTCCAATATTTTAAAATCAATTTACTATGGAAGACAAATGAATATTTAGTATGCTTTTTAATGTACTAGTATGGTACGTTACAATATCTCACTTTATGTGAACTTAAACCACTTCCTAATAACACAAGCTTTTCATAAAAAGCAATCTGACTCAATTTTTTATTCTTTTTCCTCTATTTTAAGGTTGCTAATTGCAGTTTGAAGATGTTTCTCCATTCCCTTGGTGATATATAGAGTTTTTGTTTGTTTAGTACATACTTTTTTCTTTCCACTCCACAAAAAACAAAGAAAAACGGAATTGTATTAATTTTTACAAGGGTATTTAAATATGCCTTAAGCATGAGGTGAAGTCTAGCAGAATATTTTATTCTGTATACATTTCCTTTCTAGGAGACTTAAGGATTAGCAATGCCAACTTCCTACAAATTCCTGTATTTGTACCTTTCTATTTTCAACAAGGAGTTGCTACTAATGTGATCAGTAAATGTGAATCAGTATACTGGAAGATTAATATAAGAAAAAAAGCTTAAAATGTTCAAATAGATGTCAGGTTTGATTACGTTACCCTGATCTAATTAATTGAACTGCTTTAAAAAATTCAACTTGTTTTTACCGAACAAAAGAAGAATTATTCAATTCTGTTCTTGAGTTCAACTGGGTGTTTATTTTATTGATAGGTAAATCAGAAGAAGTGTTTTAATGGGTTTATTGTGTTGGTGTAATCTGGCTTATCAGTACGTTCTACAGCAATTAAAGCACAGATAGTAAATAATCAATATACAGATAGTTATTTTTGTGTACTAGTTGTGCTATTTTTATCAAGCTAAACAGCGATAAAAAGAAAATATTAATTTGAGTATCAAATTAAAAATCAACTTTGACATTGGCAATGAAAAAATAAACTGTGACCTAACATTAAAAACACTGTGGACAAGAATTAAAATAGTATAAAATTAAATGATTGAAAGAATTCTGAGATCATTAAGAAACTTTAGGAAGACAATAACAGTGTAAGGCATAGAATAAATGATGAAATTAAGATGAAATCAACCATTGAGGAAAAAAAAAGAAATTCCTAATTATAACAAGCAAAAAACCAAATGAACAAAAACAAAAAACATCTGCTATTAGTATGAAATTACATGGAAAATAACAAGTTTATCGTCTCCCAATTAAAAAACTAATGATCTTTCAGAATTCAAATCAAATTTTAATAGGTATATTCTTTGAGTAAAAATTTCAAGTAAGAGAATTTAAAAAAACTAAACTATCGCTACTCTTATCCTAGAAACATTTTCTGTAAATCATTATTTATTCTAACATAGCATCATTGTAACAGTTATAATTGTACTAAGAAAGATTGGCATTTTAAGTAAAAATAATAATGCTATTTTTTTCTTTCACAACTTTAACATGTTTATTAAAATGTGCATGGGAAAAACTACTATCATTAATTAAGAGTATTGTTTTAAGACTGCATATTGTTGTAAGGCTTTAATATAACATGGCACTATGGTATGTAACCAAGTGTGATTTAGGTCCATTTTGAATTCCCATCCAAATGATTTTATTTAGGACCTTGTCATAACATCCAGTATGGTTCTTACACCATAAAGCTCTTCCACTGGTTGAACAGCACTCTCACACAGAAGATCATCTGTGTGTGTATGTGTGTACGTCTATGTGTGTGTATGTGTGTGCATGTGTGTACCTTACTCTTGTAAATCAAGTCTGATAAATTATTGTAGAACACTGCCACTTATCTTTTTACGTTCAAAGTCATATGCATCTCTTTAAATGTACATTTAGAAGCTTAACAGGCACTTGCTATTGTCACCAGGACTCAGAAATCTACTTAGAACTTATATATGCATTTCAGTGCCAGTTTAAACTATATAAATATCTTAAAAACATTCTCTAAAATATAATACGGTACAAATCTTTCCCTGAAGTATGGGTGAAGACTTCAGAAATAACATCTTACTGATTAGTTTACATACTGATGGAGGGTTGTAATTGTCAAAGAAAATTTTTAACTTTTACAAGAGATTAAGTGAATCATTACTTTAAATTTATTTGATTGATCAAGTGTTTTTGTCTTTGTATTTACCAATTTTAATATCACGAATAGCACATCTGCAAAGAACTAATATATATATATATATATATATTATACACATATATGAAATCTCTATATTTAAGTAAATCAGTATATATGAGATGTCTCTGGTAAAGATTATTAAAAAGAATGTCTACACTTAAGAAAGTAATTTGAATTTTAAGTTTTACTTGAAATATTTTATATTTCCAAATCCTTGGCAAGCATATTTTAATTAAGTTGGCCCTCAGTAAATGATCCAGCGAAGTTAGATATATAAAAGTCTTCAGTGAACCCAATGACATAGAGGCAACCCCAATATTTCAATGTTATACACTGTAATAGTATTTAGTTCCAAAATACACTTATGTCAAATTCACACAAAAACTTGTTTTCCCTTTCAGGGGTAAAAATATCAACTGAGATACAAATGATTACATTAAGTATATAACCTAGCCATTCATTTTCTTTATTCTTAGAAATAATCACAGATTCCAGCTGATCACAATACCTCAATTTTCTAGCATGGGACAGTCTTTAAGTCCTTACACAGTTCAGGCCCATTCTTACTAAATTCCCAGTACTAGCTTCATTTAGTATTAGAATATTACTTTATATTAACAATTATTTCCTTGATCATTCCAACAAATGCTCCAGAGAAAAAGTATTCTGGGTTTGGAAACAAGAATTTGCATACAATTTTGTACATTTCATGACCACATAAAGAATGCTAGATATAATTTTAAAAAATAATGTGTACTTTTTACCTGGCCAAGCTTTTCCTAAGTGAGAAATTATATTTGAAAATAATGTAAGCAAAATAATTGCATTGTTTAAAAATTCTCCCTCAGTTTCACAGCTTCTAATCGAATACAGATTTATTAATATAAAATATTTGTACTTTTTATAAGTAGATAAATTTTCTGTTGTTCTTACTAGACTATAAAGAAAACATTTTTTAGACCATGAATATGATCAGGAGACCTTAGATCCTTGAAATTAAATAACACAGATATATGGACACCAAAATATGTATGTTCTTATACAATATATAATAAAAAGCCTTTGTAGTCATATTACAAAATAGCTTTTTCCATCAAATCATCTGTACTGATAATAAGACAAGTGTATGTAATTTTGTGCTGCTCAATCTTACATGCATAATTAAATGATAATATAAAAATTGAAGTTATGTATTCCAAAATATAGTTAACAACATTATGGAATATTCACCGAAGAAACTACATTTGAATTTGAGGTTTTACTTGAATCCCTTTACATTTTAAAATCTCTGAAAAGCATAGCTTAACTCAATTGTCAATTGTTTAAAAACGGCTCACTTCACATCATAGCTTCTTATTTGTAGTCAGTGTTAAAACTGTAAAAGCATTAGGCTGAAACCCGCCAATGTTACTTAGATTTTTATTTTATGGTTTGAACACTGATGAATTATAATTGATATGACAGCTGCGTGCAGTTATTTCCTAATATGAGCATGTAAAACACAGAAATCGTACTGTTATCCAGCCAGCCCAGTTACAGTTTTAGTTAAAATTATTTTGTAGTGTTATACCTCATATAAAACATTTTCTTTACAATATGTTTTCAAAACAACTTTCAGAAACGTACAAATTGTCTTTCACTAATATTTGTTTAATAACATCAACTTGCATTTTGGATATTGAAATAAATTTTGTTGCTGCTCCTGCTTTGACTTTTTATACAATTACTTTAACCATTTATATTTGTATGCACTTTAAATTGAATGTGATCACCATTCTATAGTCGTTATACCAATTGATATACAAAATTGACTGCTGTTGACTACTTCCTTTCTGCTCAAATCACTTAAATATCCTGTAAATTGCCAACAAGGTTAATTAAACAATAAAATTTAAGTACAAAATAACAAGCCAATACTAATAACTATGGCATCAATATATGAGATTTATGGAGTAGAAAATAATTTAGGAATATAAATTATTCCTAAATTCATATAGCTTTATCTTAATTCATATGAAATGTCTTGAACAATATTTAAATCAGATTTTGAACTCTAGCATTGATTGACCTGAGATGTTTTTCTCCACCAAAAGCTGGGTTCTTTAACAGTTTTAAAAATTCAATGACTCCCAGTGATGATTTAAGGAGATTTCTTGGCAGCGTCCAGCTAATTCTTCGATACATCTCTTGTAAGAAGAAAATGACTGTCCATGTATTCTTGCTGCAATGCATCCTAATTTAGTAGCCAAACCATCTAAACATATACTTGTGACATATTTAGCACTCCCTGAAATTTATTTCACCGATAGACGAATGTGACTATATGCAGTCACCATGCTTATCCACATCCTGGAAATTAGCAGAGCGCCACTAAGATGATTTGAAAGCAGCTCTCAGAAGGCAAGGTACCCCGTTTACCTTCTTAGAATAAATGATTGGGTCTCAAAGACAGACATCTCTGCTACTTATGAAAATACACAGATGATAACAGAATTCAGTTTTTCAGATGTAATTAAATTTGGTCATTGTATCTGATGAAGCGATCTTTACGTCCTTCAGGTCTAGCATCAAAAGTTTGAGAAAATAGAATTTTATCAAAAGAACTGCCAAATTTCATGAAATGTGCTGATGAAATTTCTCTGTGAGCATGAAGTTGGATTGTATGCTTTTGCTTATTTGGCTATGATTTCCAAAGAAATTCCAAATCAAAATCTCTCATTGCAGTTAATTCATATTGAGTAGCCCTATTTGAAACAGTTTAGGAATAAATACTTTAGGATATATATGCCATTTTATTTGTATAAATAAAATTATTACCATTTTTGTTTAAAATAATTGGTTTGAAAAAGATGTATGCACTATTTTTGACCTCCATGTAAAGTCAATTGCAATATTTATTTGAAAAATGTTAATAGGTAAGTTAAGCCTGGTAATTAGGAAATGAACTAGAAATGCTGATTTAAATAAATTTCACAGATTCTTTGTGTAGATTTTAATTAAAGTAATTCCTACTAAATTACTGGTATACTTGATAAAAATAACCAACATAATTCAAACTTCAAGTTTGCATTTTGATGATTTATATGTAAGTGAATTAATAGGCATTCTAGTCTCAGGTGATTTGTATAGACACCAGAATTAAGAAAACAATAATGATGATGCTTGTGTCTACCTAGAGGACTGTTACTGCATTAGTACTTATGGTTCACAGCTGAGGCTGGTTCTCAGGAACTAGGAAGAAAAAATATCTCAGATAAAGGTATGAAGCAATCCACAATTGCCATCAAACCTCATCTTATCATTTGACTTTTCTTTTCTAGGACAGTCTGCATTCAAACTCTAGATTTTAAAATTTTTACCTGTTTCCCCATTCTCTTGTTCTCAAATCTATATTCTATAAAAATTCTCATCAGGTAGTTTCCACTAAGTGGAATTGATTTAAGTACAGGCTAAAGCCTAAGTTCATGAAAGAACTTGATTATAATGGTGTAATATCCAGTCCTGAAATAGGCTGTACGACCGTGTGGTGGTGGTGCTGCTGTATACGTACAGAACACATTCTTCTTACACTCAAGAATTTGGTTTAGCACTGCTAGAAGAATCTAATTATTAAGAAAACCAATTCTTTTCCTTCTGCTTTGCAAAAGTCAATTTTGAAGCTATTTTCAAAGATGTTAAAAGTAATTTTGTTTTCACTAACAGGCTTACTTATCTAGAGATGGTGAACATTGGGAATTCATTTTAGGTAATTCTTATTGGGGTAAATAGCAAACTTACAAATTTGTGATATATGGTATATACATATGTACTTATTTAAATTATCCACCCCCATATTTTAGTATTATGAAAAGGTAAACATAAAAATATTCAGCATATATTAGTAGGTAGTGAGAAATAAATATAATTAATGATTTGATAATGCTTATGTATAGCTATATAAGAATAGACCTAAAACAGTACCTTAAAATATGTCATAATTATATTGTACAAAATGATGGAATTAATTTTAAAAGATCTTTGCCCTCTAACTTTGAAGAAAATATGTCATGTGTATGTATAAGATATAAAATACTAGTTTTTTTGATTATTTTACTTTTTATATAAAAGTGTTAATTGCTATTAACATTCATTCTCTACTTCAGTTTATGCTACTGGAAAAAGATCTAACAATGAAATAAATTACTAAGCAGACTACTTCAAAGTACATGGAACAACAAGAACTAGGATCTCTTTTGGTGTTTAGGTCCCTTTATGAAAAACTTCACACAAGTAGTGATTTTTCCAGCTATTTATAGCTGAAAGTGTGAGGCTCTTCTCAAGTGTTCCTTCCCCTTTAAACTTTGAAAAAAGATCATTGGCATAGACAATAGAAAATTCCAGATGAAGCAAACAGCCTCAGAACATTAACAATCATAAGATATTTTGGTATAAATATTGTAAGTCAAATGCATTTAGAAATACTAATGCAATCTATATTTATTCATTTGAAAATTAGAAAAAGTTTTGCATTAAAAATGTTAACATTGTAACAGTTTATGTGTTTTAATATTATCTAAATATAATGCCAACTTTAAGGCTGATAAGTGGTAAAGTTTAAAAGAATGCAAACAAATTATATTTATAAGAGCTGTTTAATGGAAAACTTACTAGAAAAAAATGTTGCTTGTAAAGGGCACTAGTAGAAAAATTACTAAATCTTACACAGCAGAGACTATAACGAAGCTTTTCTTTTTAATATGAGAAATTATCAGTATTCTACATTAGATGGGAAACTATTTAAAAAAGAAAAATCAACTAGATTTCTAGAAAAGGGTAATAGTCTACTATTTTAACAAAGTGGAGATTGGTGAAAAAATTCAATTATACATTTAAGGATTATATCCTGATTGAAATAAAAATATATTGATTTCTTGTCTTTGTGCAATAACAATATTTTATATCTCTTAAATAACTCTTATATGCTTTATTACCACTCAAATTAACATTTTACAGTAAAATTTCATAATGAAGAAAACCGCAAAACTTCTTTTTTTCATATTCACGATGTAAAATGTAACACTCTCCCTGGTTTTTCTGCTGCAGGGGGTGGACAAGTGAAAAATGAGCTATAATGAGGAATACACTAGTTAATTTTTAATTGCTATTTTGAAAATTAAATTTCTACTCTTTATAAGGTACAAATTTATTTCCTTATTTAAAGTAACTCTATAAACTATCTGCTAGCTTCTTCCAGAAGTGGATGTGATTCTAACATATAATATTCAAGATCCTATCACAAAAAGTTAACCTCTTCATTTTTTCCCCTCTCCATATTTTGGCGTGGATTAACTTGTGAAGTTTTAGAATTATGCTTTAGGTTTCTAATTAAATTAGTGTTATCACTTGGGTTTTAGTGATTCTCTCAAATTCCATCACAATTAAGCCTATAAGGATAAGCAGTGAAGAGATAATTTCACAAACAAATTTTCAAAAGCATACAAGATTAATTCATATGCTGCTGAGATGAGGCACAGAAACGAAGCATTACTGCGATAATCTATGGCTAAAATGATGGTGTATGACTTATGATTAAGCTTTATTACCTGCAGAGCAAGGGGCTTCCATCTCATATTTTTCAGTAAAGCTGGTGCTGAGGTAAGCATGCTCTGAGGTCGCTTTTTCAAAGTTAAGATAACACCACTCGGGTCCTCTCGTAGTGCATTCACCAAATTTTTCAACTGCCACCCCACCTGGTAACCAGCAAAATCATTACAATAAAATTGAGGTACAGTACTCGAAGATTTAATGTTCTCCCCCTTTAATAAGATTAGTAAAAAAGAAATCACATAATCGGAGTATCCGCCTACCTATTTTCAGGAGATATATATTCAAGAGAGAAGTTTTATGTTTGAATTATTAACCATATTATTGCATTAGAGTCCATATAATTATGAGACAACATAATGGACATTTACCATATCAAAGCGGAGACTAAAACATATCTTGCCATTCACGTGATTTGGAATATAAAGAAATTCTATCACCGTTGATACTGCTTAGCTGCGAGGTCTTGGCCATAGCTCTTCACAAGTACAATTTAAAAGTCCACATGCCAGAAAATGATGAGTTGGCAAAGTCTTGAGCTAACAAACCACACCACAGGCTTTCTCATCACCATCTTTTAGAGACTCGTGACTGATATTGTGCTACCGATAGCAGGTACGGACACACCAAGGAAACATTCTGAAGCAAGGGCAGCAGCTTCAGTGAAATAAACCTTTCATTATGGTATAAAGATAGATTTAAAAATGACATGGTAATGTTACTTCAGTGCAGCATCTACTGCCAATGTGTTCCAAGTAACCCTATAAACTTAATATTTGTGAGCTAAATGTAATGAAGCTGCTTTATTTAAATATCAGCTCAGGACAATTAAGACAAATAGTAAATGATTTGAAAACTGGCTTAATGAATATTCATGTTAAATTACTTCACTAATCATCTTTAAAAATTTTAAACATAGAACTTTTGTTAGTTTGCTTTTAAAATGGATTAGTGATACAGTATCAAGTAATTAAGGTTTCAGACCTGGCTAGTTAAAATGGATAGTTTAAAAGAAACATTAAAAATCAATTACTGTATTATTAATTTTTAAAAATATATTTCATATTAATATTAAATACTTAAAAGAACCTTTTATCTTAAGTCTAGTGGAGTCAAAAATTTAAGTTGGATTTCAAAAATAATTCAGCAAATGTTCTAAAGAGTCATGTAGTTTCTTTTAGGCACTCAAAGTAGATAGATGTCTTTGCTGTGCTCTTCATCACGTTATTGTCTAAAAGATATTACTCAACTGGAAAAAATAAGAACTTCCACCAAATGATGCAAAGATTGAAAGAGACTCAGGAATTAATCTGGAATGTATACATTGTAGTTTAATGGTAGATGTTTCATATATTTATTGAACTTCCTCTAACAGATAAATTCAACCACAGATGAAGTGAGCGAAGAAAAGAAAGGAGAACAACGAAACAAAGGAGCTTCAGTGCTCCAAATCTCGAAAAGCTTGCTATGGACCAAAATGGTCACTGTGATAAATAAGAGGACGCAGCTTTTGAAAAGAAGATTAATGCAGATCAATTTCTATTAGGAAACCAGCCCAATGCTTCCTGTTTTCTATAAGAGGGGATGGTTATAAATATATTAGATCCATTCTGATATCTGATAGCTAATGTCCGGATAGCTGTTTGTACAAGCTAAGAGGCAAAATAAGTGGATATGAATCTGGGCATTCATTCATACTCTCGCCACAAAATGAATATTGAATTATAAATCTGAGGGAAGTCAAATTCTTCATACAAAACTTATAAACAACTTATCAATAATAATCATACCTAAATTATTAATTAAAACAAGCAACCAAGAACTGATAGTTTTCAACAATTTACTGCACATTTATTTGTATTCATGTATTAAATCATATTTTACCCTGTATAATCACTATGGATAGTTAATATATTTATATACTTATTTATTTTTGACATTGGATCTTGCTATATAGTGCTGAGTGGCTTTAAACTTATGAATTTTTGATAATCTTCTTGTCTCTGCTTCCCATGTAGTTGGATTCTAAGGAAATGACCATGCTGGGTTTAGCTGAAGACTTTTAAAGTTGTATGCTTTTCTGTGAAATGTACAGTTCAATTTAACTTGTCCTTTTCTGTTATAATTTCTGTATACTTTTAAGTAAATGATTAAAAATAGAATTACTTGTCCACAAGAAAGTGAAATTGTTTCTGGCAACAAAGTTAACTTGAATATACTTTAATTTTATCTGAATGTTATTTAATAGTCAAATATTTGAGTATATAACTTGACTTTATTTTAACCAAACTGATTATTATCATTTAAGATGATGAAGTCAATAGTTTTAACAAAAGCAAACAAATATAAATTAAGAATCATATGTAGTAAATAGTTTGGCTCTCAAATTCTATTTTCATTATCACAAGGAAATGTCAGGATAAATATGTAACACTGTACAATTAAACCAATATTTTAAATTATTTAAATATTCACTACAAGGGGATATAAAATTATGTGTGGAACAAAGTAAGTCTCATGGTGGTAAAAATATCATTTTTGTTAAAAATGGTTACAGCTATGGAAGGTAGAATGGATGTAATATCACTAATGATGACTACATTAAGGAGAACAATATACTTTCTACATTCCACTTTTTATTTCTTTAAATTTTAGAAATAAACATTTTAAAAAATTTAAAAAACAATAAAAACAAGGTTTTAATTTACAAATAGTAGTGTTTTAATTAGGACAATATGAATTTCAAGAGCTAATGAGAAAAGCTTACTATTGAAAACAGTCTACTTAATGCACAGAATCAGAAAGGCAACTACACTAAAATATCAATAGAAATGGGAGATGAAGTCTCTGAGCATTGCATTTTAGATGACTAATAAAAAGGAATATAAGTTTATTAACATGTGTGTTCAATAAGAACTACACTGATATTTTATTCCGTGACTAATTTTCAGTAGACACACCCCTTAATCATTAGGTCCATTTCACATAACAATTCTGGAATGGAAATGAGGCCTGATGAGCAATATACATAGAAGAATGGTAATTGGATGTGACGACTTTATCATTTGAATGTCTCTTTTATTTCCTCAGTCCTCTTTTGAAATTATTAACGTAGATAATTTCAAATTATTTTTTTTTTTTTTTTTTTTTTTTTGGTTTTTCGAGACAGGGTTTCTCTGTGGTTTTGGAGCCTCTCCTGGAACTAGCTCTTGTAGACCAGGCTGGCCTCGAACTCACAGAGATCCGCCTGCCTCTGTCTCCCGAGTGCTGGGATTAAAGGCGTGCGCCACCACCGCCCGGCTTTTAATTTCAAATTATTTAATGTCTTTAGTTCCTCTTGTTTTATACTGTCATACTTAACAACTGTCTTCAATGTATTAGCAAGTGTGATGTATTCTTACAACTTCAGGCAAAGTGATTTGCAGATATGGTGCTGTGGTATCATCATATTCTTACAGTCACATAATGAGGTACAAAGAATTCTTGAAATTGATTTATTACCCTTTACCTCGTTGAGATACTTATCGTTGACAGATAATAGAACATGGACAGAAGGTGTGATATAATGAGGCATGTATGTGTGTTACAGTTCGAAGAAGCTTGGGATCCCCCATGCAAAGAGCTAAATCTATGTGTCCAAATGTCCAAAGAGCTAAACAACACAAATGAAAGTGAATCACTTTAACTTTCCATTTTCTAATTTATGTTTCTGGCTAGCTTTAAAATATCAAGTGTGAAAGATTTAAATGATAGAAATCATGTTAATACTTATCAGCAATATATAAGAAATTATGGCATTCTTTCCACTGGCTTCTGAGTTCTCATGTAGTAAGAGAAACAGGGAGCTTAAAGAAGTGAAGACATCCTAAAGTCTACCAATAATAACAGTATAAGCCACCAATATTGGAAGGAATCAAAGAACAGGAATTAGAGATAGTAGGCTATGAATAAACATGGAAAAACCACTATTAAATCAAGCTATATAAAAAGAATTGCTTGATTTGTGAAAGAAAATCAAGAAATGTTTCAATAATTTAGTAGTTCAAATGATAAGAGAGCTTCCAAAGTCACAAGATATTACAGTTTTAATAAAGGAAGGGGAGGTAAAAAGATAAGGACAGATCAACGTGTGCAGACATATATGGTCCTGCTAAATCTTTGCCTCCTTGTCCTTTCTTCTCGATGTCTGTATGAGATAATATTTCATGTTGTCTTGTTATAATAATCCCTTCTCTGTTAATAGTTTCCATTAGCAATCTTCTGCATATGACTCTCAAATCTTTCAAACCTTTTCTGTTTCCTACTAAGTGCTTCTGTCACATACTCTAACTGTGGTGCTAATATCTACCAAATAATCACATACCAATAGTATATTGAAGTAGGTTCTTTATATTTATATGAAATTATTTTAATTTCTATTTCTTTCTTATAGCAGCTCAAAGAAGCAAGTATTAAGATAACATTACATGCGATAAAATGGAAAAAGTGACTGGTTGGGGGCAACATTACAAATTAAATGGCAGAGACAAGAGTTTATATTTATGTCTGTTCAGTTATAGCTCAATATCGTCATTCAAATATCTCTGGCATCTCAAATGAAATCAGTATTTTACAACACAAATATATTATCTCCCCTTTTTTATTTCATTTACCACAACTACCAATAACTTCCATACAATTTTATCAAGTTTGGATTCGCCTATGGATATTTACCCCATTTTATCTGCAGGTACATCATGAAAATTTCCTAGCAACGAACATTACTTTTCGTCTAGACAGGGTACTTACTTCTTAGATTCAAACTGAGTCATACCCTACCTTTCTTCTTCTAGTCTTTTACATCTCCACAGCACCACTATGTGCCAATGTTTTCTTCCTTTCAAAGCTTTTAAATTTCCCCAAATTCCAGCTCTTCTTCTCTTAAATATGGCTCTCAAACATGAGTTTATACTAAATAAATAAAGGCTTGTTTTCAACGATAAGACTGCTAGGTTTTACTTCAGAGATTAAGATCCAGTTGTAGTTCTGGGGTAGGAGTCTAATAATTTGCTTTGCTTTCTAAATCCAAGTTTCCATACAATACTGATACTACTTGCTCTTAGTCTGGGAATCATACTTTGAAAACTGCTATAATAAATGATGAACT